CAGGTCACTCCCCTCTACTAGGCCCAAAACACACACTCCAGGCTCAGATCACTCCCCTCTACAAGGCCCAAAACACTCACCCAAGGCTCAGGTCACTCTCCTCTACTGGGCCCAACACACTCACTCCAGGTTCAGGTCACTCCCCTCTACTGGGCCCAACACACTCCAGGCTCAGGTCACTCCCCTCTACTGGGCCCAACACACTCACTCCAGGCTCAGGTCATTCTCCTCTACTAGGCCCAACACACTCACTCAAGGCTCAGGTCACTCCCCTCTACAAGGCCCAAAACACTCACTCAAGGCTCAGGTCAGGTCACTCTCCTCTACAAGGCCCAAAACACTCACCCAAGGCTCAGGTCACTCCCCTCTACTAGGCCCAAAACACACACTCCAGGCTCAGATCACTCCCCTCTACAAGACCCAAAACACTCACTCCAGGCTCAGGTCAGGTCACTCTCCTCTACAAGGCCCAAAACACTCACCCAAGGCTCAGGTCACTCCCCTCTACTAGGCCCAAAACACTCACTCCAGGTTCAGGTCACTCCCCTCTACAAGGCCCAAAACACTCACTCCAGGTTCAGGTCACTCCCCTCTACAAGGCCCAAAACACTCACCCAAGGCTCAGGTCATTCTCCTCTACTAGGCCCAAAACACTCACTCCAGGTTCAGGTCACTCCCCTCTACAAGGCCCAAAACACTCACCCAAGGCTCAGGTCACTCCCCTCTACTAGGCCCAAAACACTCACCCAAGGCTCAGGTCACTCCCCTCTACTAGACCCAAAACACTCACTCCAGGTTCAGGTCACTCCCCTCTACAAGGCCCAAAACACTCACCCAAGGCTCAGGTCACTCTCCTCTACTAGACCCAACACACTCACTCAAGGCTCAGATCACTCCCCTCCACAAGACCCAAAACACTCACTCAAGGCTCAGATCACTCCCTTCTACTGGGCCCAACACACTCACTCAAGGCTCAGGTCACTCCCCTCTACAAGACCCAAAACACTCACCCAAGGTTCAGGTCACTCCCCTCTACTGGGCCCAACACACTCACTCAAGGCTCAGATCACTCCCCTCCACAAGACCCAAAACACTCACTCAAGGTTCAGGTCACTCCCTTCTACTGGGCCCAACACACTCACTCCAGGTTCAGATCACTCCCCTCTACAAGACCCAAAACACTCACCCAAGGCTCAGGTCACTCCCCTCTACTAGACCCAACACACTCACTCAAGGCTCAGATCACTCCCCTCCACAAGACCCAAAACACTCACTCAAGGCTCAGATCACTCCCCTCCACAAGACCCAACACACTCACTCAAGGCTCAGATCACTCCCCTCCACAAGACCCAACACACTCACTCAAGGCTCAGATCACTCCCCTCTACTAGGCCCAAAACACTCACTCCAGGCTCAGATCACTCCCTTCTACTAGACCCAACACAATCACTCAAGGCTCAGGTCACTTCCCTCTACTAGACCCAACACACTCACTCAAGGCTCAGGTCACTTCCCTCCACAAGACCCAAAACACTCACTCAAGGCTCAGATCACTCCCCTCTACAAGACCCAAAACACTCACTCCAGGCTCAGATCACTCCCCTCTACAAGACCCAAAACACTCACTCCAGGCTCAGATCACTCCCCTCTACTAGACCCTACACACTCACTCAAGGCTCAGATCACTCCCCTCTACTAGACCCAACACACTCACTCAAGGCTCAGATCACTCCCCTCTACTAGACCCTACACACTCACTCAAGGCTCAGATCACTCCCCTCTACTAGACCCTACACACTCACTCAAGGCTCAGATCACTTCCCTCTACTAGGCCCAAAACACTCACTCAAGGCTCAGATCACTCCCCTCTACTAGACCCAACACAATCACTCAAGGCTCAGGTCACTCCCCTCTACCAGGCCCAAAACACTCACTCCAGGCTCAGATCACTCCCCTCTACTAGACCCAACACACTCACACCGGGCTCAGATCACTCCCCTCTACTAGACCCAACACACTCACTCCAGGCTCAGGTCACTCCCCTCTACTAGACCCAACACACTCACTCCAGGCTCAGGTCACTCCCCTCTACTAGACCCTACACACTCACTCCAGGCTCAGGTCACTCCCCTCTACTAGACCCAACACACTCACTCCAGGCTCAGGTCACTCCCCTCTACTAGACCCTACACACTCACTCCAGGCTCAGGTCACTCCCCTCTACTGGGCCCAACACACTCACTCAAGGCTCAGGTCACTCCCCTCTACTAGACCCAAAACACTCACTCCAGGCTCAGGTCACTCCCCTCTACTAGACCCTACACACTCACACCGGGCTCAGATCACTCCCC